CCGGTTGGTGGCTGGGTAGCGGAGATTGCTCGTATTTTCCGATTCTTATCACAATCCTGCAGTGGGGTATCTTTTGATATTGCTCGCGTTGATGATGAGCAACGGTTTGCAGTGACGTGTCAGAAGCCTAATGAGAGTATTGCTGATTATGTGGTGCGTTTCTCCAACGCTGCTTCCGATCTGGCCGCTTATACTGGGAAAAGTGTATCCGAGGATAAGCTCCGCACTAATTTTATTCGGGGTATTTTGGTATCTTGGAGGTTACATGCACTTGATATTCTGTCTCGTGGCGACGATTTTATCACTTTGGTTGGTCAAATCATCACAACTGTGAGCATTATTATGATCATCACCATAATGTGATGCTATAATACAGCATCATTGATGCTCGTGAACTCGAGTTACGCAATGCCATTATGTGAGTTGAATCGAGGTTTCGCGGATAATTTACATTGAGTGAATCATATATCATTCTTCTGTGGTTTGTATATTGTAGTGCTATCGAAGGGGTCTCTCGTTATTTCAATTCCATGAAAAGTGGGAAAAATCACACGCCAACACGTTGTTAATATTGAGCTCTCCCTCGTCGTTGTCGGGACAAAACCGTTTCCGACTGAACTCGTTAACATTGAGGTCTACAGGAAAGACAAACTCGTGTAGTGGAGTGATGAAAGACACTTGTATCAAGTCTATCAGGAATCGAGACTAAGATAGACAAAATAGAGACGGCCCAAATAGTAGGGCAATCGGCCATTGGCCAAAGATACTGCTCACGAGTGAATCACTCGGAGTGGTCATCCACGATTGTGTGTTGATCAATTGTGGAAAGAGCAATACTTCCCTCCGCTCCCGATATCTAGACAAAACCCCCCTTCAGGACAGTCCTGAGAAGACGCCACTTTTAGACCAGTATCGGAGCGAACTGAGTCTACCTTATCATTGTTGCATCCGATACTGCATGCTTTAGGAGGTTTGCATTGTGCCCGTCCAGTAGGAGGCTTCGGACAGTCTTCGCTTTTCCCAACCAAACAAACGTCAACACAGACCGCTGCATGGATAACTTTATCCGAACGGCTCTGAAAGAGATAAGATAAATTGAGAGTTTGTACAACGATGAGGCGGATATCTGAGTGAGAGGAGTCGTTCAAGATTACACCGTCGAACAGCAGGGCGTCAGTGTGGCATGTACAACCAATCAGAGACCCAGAATCATCAAAGGTACATTTACCGATGGGCTTCTCATACGGCCCACCCTCTGAAATGGACAACAATTGATGATCGATTTCATGCTTCGATCTGTGACCGAATCCATATGACTGACCTGAAGTTAAGTTGGCATCGTCATTGTTATCCGCTGTCGGGAGTGGTCCAAGGACTTCGGTTCTGAAAGGAGTCCTAATATCACACGATGTAGATCATACTCTCTCCTTACGGACCCACCTCCCGACCGTGAAATCAGCCCAGGCCATGTTAAGACAGACCAACAGTGGGACGTTCACGAGGTTGTGCATTGTTGTGTAGTCCAAGATGTGTAGCAGAGTCGTGGCGAAGCAAGATTGTCACAACTGTCGGCTGTGGCACACGTGAGGCTCACGCATCCACGCAATGCGAGGGGCAATGAATTATTCCTTGTCCGATTGTCGGACTCCAATAACTTTATCGCTCGTTATGAAGGCGACTACATCCTGAATGTAGTCGACCAATCAATACGTGATACGTATCAATCGGTTGATTGTGTCGTCAGATTTGACGAGCACAGTTCATAAAAGTCCGAGCTTACGGTTATCACCCGTCACGTGACATGGTGGCGTGATGGAGAGTATTTATGTAGCGGCTTTTGCGTGTGCCACGAAGTGGCCATCACGCCATAGGGATCGGGCACACGCCCCTCCCCTCAAAAAGGTTGAGAAAAAGAAAGAGGGCTCGAGAAAACAAGCTAGCGAGATAGCAAAGTTTAGGCTGGCAACAATGAACAACACTGCTAAGCTTCTTCCAGTCCTAGTTCTCTACTTGAGATAGGCCTGCTCAGCAGGCCCTGCTGTTAGAAGAGTAAGAAAATCGTCCACAGTCCGGAAGTTTGAATCGCTCACCAGTGATTAATTCACATCTGATATATCCCATCAAACACACTACTTCGAACCTTTTTAGTGAAGCTCACAGAATAACAACGGCGCCGAGAGTCTTTTGATGACGAATCTCAGCGGTCTGGGAATCGTAGGTCTATCCCCCAAAGGATATTTTCGTGAGGGGCAATGGAGGCGGTTTCCGCGAGCTATCTGGACGAAAACCACGATAGGAGATTCGATTCAACCGTGGAAATGTAGACGCAGTCAAGAATATTATACGATCAGACACCTCGAGAATATCCAGACTGGAGACTCCAGTGATGATGTGCTCCCGACGATTTATTGCCCATTGCGATTCACACTATGTCGATCAAGGGTGTTGATGTAGCGTATCACCGTCCATACTTTACCAATGGTAAATTATCCTGATTATTGGACAATATGCTCAATGATAGTGTAACTTATAACGACCTAGCTATATGTTGAACTCGAGCCATCTACAACACGTAAACATGATGTGTCATGGTCTCGATAACTTATCGGCGATAAGTGACAGAGGCGTGCTTGACCAGGCGTACCAAATCTAATATTTCTCACCCCAGGGCGTGAGTTCGAAGACGTCACAGAGCGCATCATGCCTGTCATTTGTTGTATCACTTGAAAGCTAAGACCTTGAAACCCAATTCACCGAGTCAACCTTCGAATTCCCATGAAACTGCTCTTAAGAGATTTAGCTACAATCACGCAGCATCACGTGTTCGAACATTTCAAGACCAATCTCTGGTCACAGAATTTCAGTTTCAATCATACTCGAGAGGGCACCCATTAGCGTAGAGATCTATGTGTATACGAATAATCAGCCAGTCTCCACGGCTCATTTAAATTTAGCTTTTTCATTTGCAGCCCTATTCAGTGGGGCAGGTCGCACCT